TGGTCGGCTGAGTAAAGCTTTGTCGGCTACCGGCGAGCTAAGTAGGGAGTTTGTAGCCCTTTTGACTCCTCAGAGTGTTCAGTGATAAAAAGAGTGCAGGCAACTAAAAACACTCGCGTGGGAACAAATTCACATTAAAAACACTCGCACATTTGTACAAAGGATGATCAAAATCAACGACCGTGTATAGAATCTGCACAGCCGCCCGAGGAAATCCTCTGTAGAAAACCTTTTTTTTTTTTCTTCTTGTGTCGTCTCTCATTTGCTCAGCTAATATCAAAAAGCCAGAACTGGGGTGTCGACACTGCGCAGTAAAAAAACAAAACAAAAACAAAGGACAAGCGACCATTTTAAAACCTAGACTCCGCATCCTCCTGCACACCGACTCCTCCTGAGAAGTGCGGAGGAGGGGGAGGAGGAAGAGAGGAGATAAAGTGGGACTCTCTCGCTCCCTCTCTAAGTGACAAGTTTGGGTAGGACCGTGCGAATAGGTACGGCCTCTCCGGAATCTCCCAACATGTTGCTCCTCAGTTTGTTATTCGTAGCTGTGGTGCCCAGGCCTGACCCGCCCTTGGCCATGATGGAGGGGAAGGAGGTGCTGTGGTTATCGGGGAGCCGCCTCGTGGGGGCCCCTTGGCTCCTCTCGGCTACAGGTAGCGATTTGGGCAGCCGGCGATAGAGCCAAGGGTGTCTGAGTGCCTGGCTAGGGGTCAGACGAGATGAGGGGTCCCAGTCCAAACACTTCTTAATGAAGTCAATAAAGGTGGCGTCCTCGCAACCTTTGAGCGCGGCGCTCCACTCTTTGCTAGCCGGGGGACCTCTCAACTTACCGCGGCGGGAGCGGGACGCCGTGAGCACGGTGGCCCCTGTGGGCAGGGTGTTGGCTCCGCAGTAGCGTAATGAAGTCAATAAAGGTGGCGTCCTCGCAACCTTTGAGCGCGGCGCTCCACTCTTTGCTAGCCGGGGGACCTCTCAACTTACCGCGGCGGGAGCGGGACGCCGTGAGCACGGTGGCCCCTGTGGGCAGGGTGTTGGCTCCGCAGTAGCGAGGGTGGCCCTTGGAGTTGATAAAGGTCTTTACTCTTTTGGCCTGCTCCAGAACCTTCTGAGGAGGCATGCCTAGCAGTTCCATGACACAGGCTAATTGGTCGCCCTCGTCCTCGCCGGGGAAAAGCGGGTAGCCCGTCAGCAGCTCAGCAAGGATGCAGCCGAAGCTCCACATGTCGATGGGCAGGCCGTAGCGAGCGCCGAAGATCACCTCGGGAGCTCGATAGAAGCGAGACTGGATGTATGTGTACACGCGCTGGTGCTCAAAGCAGCTGGAGCCAAAGTCTATCACCTGGTGGGGGGGAGAGGCAAGCCATTGAGCGAGTGAGAAAGAAGAGGAGTTGCTTCGAGGCCGCATCTGAATCCTTGGAACTTGTTGCGCTTGATCAGCTCGTAGAGGTTCATGCTGAGCAACTCGAAGGTCATGCAGATGTGGTTGCGGAAGGTGAAATGTTCCAGCATGTGCACCACGTTCTCCCACACAGTAACACTGAGCCAGTGTGTTCGCGCACATATTGAGTTGACATGCTAGCACCGGGGATTAGGTCGAGAGGTCAAAAGGCGAAACGTTATTGCAGAAACTCCATGATGCTGTCGTCAAATAGTGTGAAAGTGTTGGCTGTATGTGTCAGTGTGCTCTTTTCGATGATGACTGTCGGCTGAGTAAAGCTTTGTCGGCTACCGGCGAGCTAAGTAGGGAGTTTGTAGCCCTTTTGACTCCTCAGAGTGTTCAGTGATAAAAAGAGTGCGGGCAACTAAAAACACTCGCGTGGGAACAAATTCACATTAAAAACACTCGCACATTTGTACAAAGGATGATCAAAATCAACGACCGTGTATAGAATCTGCACAGCCGCCCGAGGAAATCCTCTGTAGAAAACCTTTTTTTTTTTTTCTTCTTGTGTCGTCTCTCATTTGCTCAGCTAATATCAAAAAGCCAGAACTGGGGTGTCGACACCGCGCAGTAAAAAACAAAACAAAAACAAAGGACAAGCGACCATTTTAAAACCTAGACTCCGCATCCTCCTGCACCGCCTCCTCTCCTGAGAAGTGCGGAGGAGGGGGAGGAGGGAGAGAGGAGATAAAGTGGGACTCTCTCGCTCCCTCTCTAAGTGACAAGTTTGGGTAGGACCGTGCGAATAGGTACGGCCTCTCCGGAATCTCCCAACATGTTGCTCCTCAGTTTGTTATTCGTAGCTGTGGTGCCCAGGCCTGACCCGCGCCTCGTGGGGCCCCCTTGGCTCCTCTCGGCTACAGGTAGCGATTTGGGCAGCCGGCGATAGAGCCAAGGGTGTCTGAGTGCCTGGCTAGGGGTCAGACGAGATGAGGGGTCCCAGTCCAAACACTTCTTAATGAAGTCAATAAAGGTGGCGTCCTCGCAACCTTTGAGCGCGGCGCTCCACTCTTTGCTAGCCGGGGGACCTCTCAACTTACCGCGGCGGGAGCGGGACGCCGTGAGCACGGTGGCCCCTGTGGGCAGGGTGTTGGCTCCGCAGTAGCGAGGGTGGCCCTTGGAGTTGATAAAGGTCTTTACTCTTTTGGCCTGCTCCAGAACCTTCTGAGGAGGCATGCCTAGCAGTTCCATGACACAGGCTAATTGGTCGCCCTCGTCCTCGCCGGGGAAAAGCGGGTAGCCCGTCAGCAGCTCAGCAAGGATGCAGCCGAAGCTCCACATGTCGATGGGCAGGCCGTAGCGAGCGCCGAAGATCACCTCGGGAGCTCGATAGAAGCGAGACTGGATGTATGTGTACACGCGCTGGTGCTCAAAGCAGCTGGAGCCAAAGTCTATCACCTGGTGGGGGGGAGAGGCAAGCCATTGAGCGAGTGAGAAAGAAGAGGAGTTGCTTCTAGGCCGCGCGGCGCGAGTGTGCTCGAATACCTTGATGCCGCTGCGTCCCTGCTGCTTGAGGAGAATGTTCTCAGGCTTGAGATCACAGTGGATGATTCGGAGCCTGCTCAGGGCTTCCAGGCACTGCAGGATGGAGTGAGCAAACTTCCTGACCAGAGGCAAGCTGAAGCCTTGGAACTTGTTGCGCTTGATCAGCTCGTAGAGGTTCATGCTGAGCAACTCGAAGGTCATGCAGATGTGGTTGCGGAAGGTGAAATGTTCCAGCATGTGCACCACGTTCATGGTGCCGCTGCGGTCCTGCTTGCGCAGGTGCTCCAGGATGCGGATCTCTTCCTGCGCCTGGCGGTGGAAACGCTTCTCGTTGCGGACCATCTTCAGAGCCAGGTGCTGCTGCATTTTGTGGTCGTAGACTTTGGCCACCTGGCCGAAGCTGCCCTTGCCAATAATCTGAGGGCGGCAAAAGGGAGGCGGATGAAAGAGGCTTAACCCCTTTGGGGACAGCGGTTACTACAGTGGACAGCTTAGCACGTTATCGGGTTAATTTACTCCTATTGCACGTTGAAAAAAAACTAAACATTTTCATTAGATTATTTTCTCGGTTGTAACAAAATTCCTTCCAACCATGTTGGCTGACTTGCGACAAAATTCCATCCCACAGCAGTGCATGCCCAGGCTGGTGACCACCTTTTTTTCCCCACAAGCCATTGAGGCTCCTGACCACTTGTCGAAATCAGAAATTCTATAAATCGCCCCGTCATTGTTACACAAACCACTTCGATCATCCAATCCAACAAAGAACCGCAAATGGGAATCTACAACAACAGCAGGTAAGCGATTTCTCCTCTTCGCTTTGGCACTAACTCTGCTTCAGAACCAGCTTATCTTCTAAGAGATGTGGAGGTGAACAACAGCCTTTGAGCAGATCCTTTTCCTTACCTTGAGAAACTCGTAGCGGTAAGCCAGGTGGTCATGGGGGACGTTGATGTAGCCGCCTTGCTCGTCATCATAGCCGCAGTTGTTGCTGCCCCCAGTGACGGCGGGCCTCTTCTTGGCATTGGGTCCCACGAAGTAGACGTCGGAGTAGGAGTGGATTTCGGTTTGCTCAAGGCTGGTCAGTTGGGTCCGGTACAGTCTCACGGCCTGTTCTGGCGTGAGGGGGCCACACAGCTTGGTAGTGTTCCCGCCATTGGCAACTCCTTGAGAGCCAGCGTTGTCATTGGAGCCTTTACTGGATTCGGAGCTGTGATAAACCAGAAAAAACTCCAGGTGGTGAGCAAACAGTCTCGGTCTAAATATGACACTTTTTTTTTTCTCCATGTCTTTCCCACCTGTCAGCGCTGTGATCTTTGGGCAAGGTGGTGGTTGGTGCCGGTTTACTAGCCGTCGGAGCGCTGGTCCCGCCGTTTTGAGGTGCGGCCGTGGTAATGGCACTGATCTTGCGATTGTTAGCGGAGTCTTCGTACAGATACTTGACCTTCAGCTGGCCGCCTCGTACGGTTATCTGATCCCTCATCACACCCTTGTTACTGACCGCCTGAAGAGCCAAGACGAGGCAATTAGATTGGCCTGACATGGGTTTTCGACAAGGAACGCACAACGTTAGATTGTGGAGCCACCGCACACACCAAAAACCTCTAAAGTGCACTTCAGAATTAGACAAAAACACTCTGAAAAATATACCCCCTTTAAAGTCAAATAAAATTCTCGTGGTGAGTCACATGATATCATGCGGGACCTCAACATAGCACGTGAAACTCTCAAGAAAATATGGCTACAAGGAACGTACACTGGAAATTTAGCTATGTTTCGGGCTTCAAGGGATGAGATAAAACTCCAAAGCAGATGTCGGGTAGGCCTGCACAGAAATTTTGGAATTTTGTTCATTTAGGACAAATCCATCTCCTTCAGCTGCCGTTGAGCAAGGCATCGCTCCAGTCGGGCGCACCCCCCTCTGGAAATAATTAAAGTCTGAAGTCAGTGTGTTCGGATCTGGGTTTTATGCTGCTGATTCTGATCGCGATCTTCCACGAATCAAATCTGCCGACGCCGATCATTTGCACCCAGATAGCATGTAGCGGGGCTCCAAGTGAGAGAGCAGGCAGGGTGTCTTCCACCGCTGAGAAAGTCAGGTCATTGGGTCAGATGAATTCAATTATTTTTCAGGTTATGTTGAGCCTTTTAACTGTCACGCTTGAACAGGCATTTGTAGCCTCGTGCGGGATGTGTTAGCTGCTGTTTGAAAGGCGCCACCCCCACCCCGTCTCTTCAATTCACTGCCGTGAGCCGCAGGTTATGTTGAGCCTTTTAACTGTCACGCTTGAATTGTAATATGTAGCCTCGTGCGGGATGTGTTAGCTGCCGTTTGACAGGCGCCGCTCCGTCTCTTCAATTCACTGCCGTGAGCCATGAAAGCTCACCATGTTGCGCCAAGTGTCTGTTCTTCAAACATCATATCGAAAGTACTTTTCAAGCTTTTTGACCCGTTCTTTCCGACATCTTTTCATGGCATGTGTTGCGGAATGCAAACTTGGCATCGTTCTGAAATCGCATTAAACTTCGACATGGCACACACGTTTGGGTTGCCGCTGGGGCGGGGCGAGCGCACGTAGTGCGAATAAAAAAGAGGGAGGAGGCGTTGAGCGGCACATGCCGAACTCATCCTCATAAATCAGCCAATCGTGATCGATGGCCGATTGATCGGCGCACCACTCGTCCAAAGTCTCGATTTTCTACACCGAGGGATACATTTTGACAACCGGAGTGACATACATTGTCACCCAGTAAGGGTGGCCAAACCAGAAAAACTGGATGGAGATCCTGTCTGGTAGGCAACACCGGAATCAAACACACACGTGCAGGCATGCACGCACAAGCACACAAATGTGTCTGAATTGTTATATCCAATCACTGCACTATTTCATCCGAACTAAACATGTATGACTGGATCAAATTGTGAACATTATAAGATTGTTGGGGATATTTTTAGTGTCTCTCATTGTTTCAATGACAGGACTGAATGTTAAGATGAGGACCAGTTCTTCCTGCCAGCAGTTTCGTTTGAGCAACCCCCTGGAATTCAGTCCCTTTAAACTCTCTTACTGCTAGAAAGAGAAATAGCCACAATGAGACGTGAGGTCGCTTTCTAGTTGGCATTCGGAGTAAAATGGAGACACTGTGGGTTGTTGAAGTACGTTTACAAGTAAAGCCCTTTCAAAATGTAGCTTTTGCTCCGGTTTGGCAGGGAATACAAGAACAATTGCGTATTCATTTTTGCAACATTAAAGGAGTTTAATGCAAAAAAAAAACACATTTTAATTTGGAGTCTTTTAGTGTTGTTTGTATCGTATAAAAAAATGTCTTTTTTTTTTAAAAGCAAACAAAGTCTGGTGGAGTGTACTGTAAACATTTTACTTGTCAGGTCTTCCACGTGCGCACTTATCATGCCAGTGGCCTAAATATTTGTTTCCCCACCCTCACTGAGCACTTGCTATGAAATTATCAGGGGTGGGGTCGCTTCAATCTCTGGCCTATCTCTGGGCCATGTACAGCCTGCACACATTTGAGCCGAGCTGCCAAAAGTCAATCGAAAAACAAATACGATCTCACATGATCCCACAAATGTTCAAAATATATCATCCACGTGTTTTGATTGTTGTATCAAAATTTCCAGACATTTCTTATGGCATGTGAAGAAAGAAACTAAACTCGCTCCCGGTAGAAAGAAAGTGCCCCAGCCCTGGTTTTTCAAGACACAACGCCACACCACCAGGAAAAAAATTACAGTAGATGAAATGAGGTGGTGACATTTGTTCTGTAATTAGGCTTCAGTCATGAAGCTAAAAGGAGATGATCCCGCATTTCAGCAAAGCAACAGAATGGAGGGTTGGTGTCCATACGTACAAGTATATGGTCTTAATTTATGGCGGGCAAGCCAAATGGCCGACCCTGCGGCGGCCTTCTGCAGCTGTTGTCCCAAAAACTGTACAGCCCAATGTCATCGATTGAACCCTTTCACCCACGGGACACAAATAACGTCCGAGCATCAATATCAGTGTGTGTGGCGCGCCATCAGTATTGCTCTGAGGAGGAATCAATCAAAACAAGAAACATCGCTAAGAGAGCCACAGGTGAACGTTGTTAAATGAGGGTGGCAACGGAGCTGCTTGTGCGCAAACTGCAACAGATGGAGAGGAGCTAATCTCTTTGCCATCAAGAGAAAATGCTTAATGCGCTGGCAGTTGCACAACTCTTCACGTGCAGCAAACACACCAAACTTGTCACAACGCAAGACAATTTAAGACAGGAAAAACAAAAGCGAAAGTCCGTGACAGCCCTCGGCGCCGCCAACCCCAACAAGCACAGTTCCGCTCGAGTTTGTTTTGGAGTGACCGGCAATGACAATTGTGGTTATTAGTTCAAGTGGGCAGCTCTGTGCAATCCCCCCCGCCACACCAAAAAAAAAAAAAAAAACCCCCACAACTGGGACGCGCTCCTGTCAGCTACATTCAAGTGAGGATATTACCTCTGTGAGCGTGACAGAAAATACAAAAGAAGATGAGTGGCCCTGCTCGCGACAATGTATCCAAACCTCTGTGCAGGCCCACTGATGGCGGATTACGCTGCACAGTACAACGGGGGCAGGGGGGAGAGAATGTTGATTAGCGATTTTGTTTGTGGGTCACATTTTCAAGTCCAATAAATCTTTAGACTTTATACTGAACCATTTTGCCCCTTTTTGGCATGAAAGGCTTGAAAGATTCAATGCGTGCACACATTGGCTGCCAACGGGGCCATTCCGACTGCATCCAAAGTGAAAAAGTAGGTAGCCCACTTGTATCGACCGGCATTATTGATTGTTGTTGAGTGATACTAAACGCATTCAAGTGGACAAGCATCTATCAAATCATCTTACTTGGGGAAATAAGAAAATCCTCCCACAATTTCAACTAAGAGTCCAGCTGCCTCAAGCAGCGCCGAACCGAAAACCGTCAGCACAAAACCGAGATACAAAGCGAAGCGTGGATTTTGTGACCCGTTCCACCCGTGCTACCATACATCTAGGTAATCCTCACAGAAGCCTCGGAGTGGCATAAAAAATTCATCACGCCGGCGGATGTGAAGAGATGCGCTCATCTCGCTGCCATGCGACAGTCAAGGCTAAACAGAGTCAAGTTAATGGGATGACAAGAAACAAACCCTGCTGCCTGGATACCCACGCATTAGACCGGTGCAGCACAGCACAGCAAACACAGGCTTTAGGTCTCCGTGCACAATATTAGCCAAGCACGGACCTTCATTAGCCTTCTGAAAAGTCCTAATCGCTCGGTTGGGGCTCAGCACTTTCAAACTCAATCTGCCCGCTTTGGGGGCTAACCCCGAAAAGTTCACAAATTACAAAATCACTCGTCCCTTTAAATAATGGTGCATATGCAATAACATTTGGCCTGTTTGCATGAGATTACTAGAGAGGCACAAAATTACAATTAAAAAACACACACACAAACTATCAGATGCAAGATAACTAAAAACTTTCCCCAACTAAACAAGTAACAGATCACGCATCAGTCGTCAGGTACATGAACCAATTGCAGATATGGGTGCCTCGCCTCAAATAAACAGCATATAGTACCAGTAGGTGGCTGTAATAGTCATCTTTTACCTAATTAACACACTGAGTGGGTTTGAAATGCTGATTTTCATACAAATACTAGTTATTTCATGATACTGGTAAATGCCAGTCGTTATACTATAATCCCATCAGGGGGGGGAACGGCTTCCATCCCTCCGAGAAACAGGATGTCTGGAGACAGCACGCTACGACGGCACAGGAAATAAGGCTTTGTTTGGCTTTGGGGTGTTTGGATGTTTGCTTACTGTGAGCTTGGGCATGGGGGGCAGGCCAGAAGGACTGCTGGTGTCGGTGTCCTCCTTGAGGATGTGGTCCGTCCTCATGTACGAGTCGTAAAGTCCATCACCGTGACGTGCTAAAGGCACAAAGAGGAATAAACATCGGAGCGTGATCAAGGGAAATGAGACAATCAATAACGCAGTCAAGGATACATGAAAAGGTGTAATCTAATCTTGTTGGAGGCGGGGGCAACATGCTAAATCCCATTGATTATCTTGTCAATCAACTACAATGTTGTGAAAACAAATTGGAGAAACCACATTTCCTGTGACAATCCACCCCATGCACGTATTGTGAGAAATACATGGTACCCAAGAGCATGGCAGCGACCTGACCAGCTTAGGTAGGGCTTAGGGTCCCAGATTGCTAGCGCTGCAAGTGGTATTATTGGCCTAATGGGGGTAACAGATGCCCGTGTGACGACAGTATCTTTCCGTCTACCCATCTGTCCATTCAAGCCCTTGTACCGCATGGACCAGGTCAGGTGTGCTCCTAAAAAGAGCTCAAAAGGCTATTCAATAGCAAAGGGCGTGTGCGCGTATGTGCGTGCGTGTGCGGGGTCACGTCACTTCATCTGATATGATACGGGCAAAATGTATGAAGGAGTCAACCTTGTAAGTGGTTTCTCAGATGACAGACAAAGGGCTGTTCATCTCGACAGTTGTTAGGCACCTTTTGTACCTCGCCACTATTGTGGCATGGCTCCAAGTAGCCGGTGACCATTTACACTGGCGACATGTTTGGTTAGCTGGAAGAAAAACAACTGGTGTTCCCTGCGACTGGCCCTTGAGAGTGTTCTGCGCACAGGCAGGTGCGTCACAGCTTGCGTCCCTAGTCAACAGACCTGCAGCGGGACAGATTAGACCTGCTGCCTGGATACCCACGCATTAGACCGGTGCAGCACAGCACAGCAAACACAGGCTTTAGGTCTCCGTGCACAATATTAGCCAAGCACGGACCTTCATTAGCCTTCTGAAAAGTCCTAATCGCTCGGTTGGGGCTCAGCACTTTCAAACTCAATCTGCCCACTTTGGGGGCTAACCCCGAAAAGTTCACAAATTACAAAATCACTCGTCCCTTTAAATAATGGTGCATATGCAATAACATTTCGCCTGTTTGCATGAGATTACTAGAGAGGCACAAAATTACAATTAAAAAAACACACACAAACTATCAGATGCAAGATAACTAAAAACTTTCCCCAACTAAACAAGTAACAGATCACGCATCAGTCGTCAGGTACATGAACCAATTGCAGATATGGGTGCCTCGCCTCAAATAAACAGCATATAGTACGAGTAGGTGGTTGTAATAGTCATCTTTGACCTAATTAACACACTGAATGGGTTTGAAATACTGATTTTCGTACAAATACTAGTTATTTCATGATACTGGTAAATGCCAGTCGTTATACTATAATACCATCAAACACTACATGATATATACCCTTGCTGTTTCATAAAATAGCACGTATCCCCAATTTGTGACTTTTGTTTTGATCACAAAAATAACAGCAAATCTTTTGCAAGTTTTGGATTAAAAAAAAAATCATAAATATGAACAAAAATAGATTTGAGTTCAATGTTGGGGATGACGCAGAAATAATGGTGCATATGCAATAACATTTGGCCTGTTTGCATGAGATTACTAGAGAGGCACAAAATTACAATTAAAAAACACACACACAAACTATCAGATGCAAGATAACTAAAAACTTTCCCCAACTAAACAAGTAACAGATCACGCATCAGTCGTCAGGTACATGAACCAATTGCAGATATGGGTGCCTCGCCTCAAATAAACAGCATATAGTACCAGTAGGTGGCTGTAATAGTCATCTTTTACCTAATTAACACACTGAGTGGGTTTGAAATGCTGATTTTCATACAAATACTAGTTATTTCATGATACTGGTAAATGCCAGTCGTTATACTATAATCCCATCAAACACTACATGATATATACCCTTGCTGTTTCATAAAATAGCACGTATCTCCAATTTGTGACTTTTGTTTTGATCACAAAAATAACAGCAAATCTTTTGCAAGTTTTGCATTAAAAAAAAACATAAATTTGAACAAAAATAGGTTTGAGTTCAATGTTAGGGATGACACAAGAGTCATCACACCACATCTTGTAATGTATGCAATTAATTAAATTGGGTGTAATCACAGATCGCTGGTGTGGGGCAGAATCCTATCAACTCTCAAACCATCACTTTTCAGGAAAAAAAAAATATGGCATGGTTACAGAGCCGGGAACATTGCATTATTATTGGCCAATAATTTGTTTCAAAAAGCATTTAAAAACCACGTGGGGACTGACCAATAGTATCGATTTGTGGAGGGGAAAAATATGAAAAATTTGACCATGTCTGGAAATAAGAGGTTTCCGCTCCAAAGTAAACACTTTAACTCTAATAGACAACTCTACAGTATACATATCATAAACACTAGTCATTTTATTTGAGAAAATATGACTTTAAAAGTTTGGATGGAAGCAAACGTTCAAACTGTCTTTATACGGCGAGAGGTAAAAGCTAAAGTTCAAACACACAACCGGCCAAAAACGTGATTGAGGAAAAGCTGACTCGTGTTCCTGATAATGTTATCAAGTTATGACCTCGTGCTCAAGTTATGACCTCGTGCAGGGAGCAAAACAAAAGCATTAAAAAAAAAAGTAAATAAAATCATCAGCAGTTCCTGGAAGGTGTGCCAAAACACTGGGAAAGGAGTTTCGTGGTGGACTTCTGAGAAAAGGGGCTTAATGTTGACAAAGTAAAGAAAGAAAGCCTGCATTCGTCTGCTGCTTGTTCACAAAGAGCCACAGTGTGACATTTAGGACCGGACAAGATAATTCATGCGCATTCATGGTCATTTCGTGCACAAGATATTTAGGTAAATGTAAAGCGAGGGCCTGCTAGTTAGACAAAACCAAAAGCACTTAAAAAGCAAGACATCACAGTTGGGATTGATTACCTGTTGCGATTGGGCCCTCTGGCTTTCTGCTTATGATCATCATGGTTGTAATTAATTTGTAATGCCAGCATCCGAAGTGAAGAAAAGTCCCAGAAAACCGTAAAAAAAAAGTTACATGGCCGACTGAGCTGATGGTTCCTTTTAACGACGAGTTTACCTGTCGCACAGTCACCCAAAGCTATCCTGAGTTGTGTTTTCGATCTTAACGTCACTCAGCAATCCGTTTTGCTCACACTTATTTGTGTATTGTGTGCGCTACTAATGTTAGCCGAGGTAGCAGCAGGGAGACGCTGGAGAAAGGAGGGTGGGGGGGTCGTTTCCCTGAGCTCGCTAGCCAGCTAGCCACAAAACAAACCACGTCCGTCGGGGAGCGGCTCCCTCTCCCGAAAAAAAAAAACACTTCAAGTCCAAACGGAACACCTCGGCGGTGTGCTCCGTGCGCCCCTCGCCTTTCTTTGTCTGCCAAGCGACTCGATCCAGAGCACCATTCCCGTCTTTATTCCCAATTAGTTGACTTTGCGGTTAGCGGCGCTCCCAACTCCGTTGAGTCCTCCGTCGGGAGTCGGGACGGCTTGGGGAGGGGGCTCGGGGGGGCTATCCAAAACAAGCTAGCGAGCCTTGCTCTCGCCCCATGCTAGAAGCGTGGCCTTTCCGCAGATCACCTGTAGTCAGCGCGACGAAGAAGCGGCGTTTAATCAGTTCGCTAGACTGCGCGAGGATCTTATTCGACGTCTCGGTGTGTTGTTGCTATGGGCGTCTTCAGTGTCTCGGCGGGGTGAGCGAGAAGGCTGTCGGGGAGTGGGGACGAGAGGGGGAGGGGTTCGGGGTGGACTCCAAGTTAGAAAGGAAGATGTCGCGCCCCCTGGTGGCGTTGAAATGTTAAACAGCGTCTACAAAACGCACCTCCGAGGCAATGTTTCCCAACTTTTATTTGTGCCAAGGCCCGTATTTGTCATTAAAAAAATTCTCATCTCGACAATACTTTTATACACAGACATAATGATGATCTCAAGTAACTCACAAATCATATGCCATTCAGTTGTGAAAAGTAGGTATGCGACAATTGACTTAATTGCGCCATTTTTCATGAGGCCATTTTCATGTGATCAGGTCGTGCAGGTCTGTTTTGTACTACTGTACTCTCAGAAAAAAAAATCTGACGTGTGAACAATGTTTTCTGCGTCTGTTTGTAGATATGATGTACAGTAGAATCTCCTCTGTCACCTTGATTTCCATACAGTGTTTCAATGATTATCGCATGCACGGCGTGGTAACTCCTCCTTGACCGCACAAGAAGTGTTCATATCTATCTGGAATATTCATATTGAGACCGATTTTGAGATTTTTAAAGGACATTCAGACAAAGTTACATCGAATTTGCGCATATGACATGACATGCCAAAATTTTGTTTCGCCGAACCTTGAATGGAATGGTCTGCAGGAGGCGCCGACCAGTATAAGCCAGCCGTCCTTTGCCAGCGACAACCTTTTTACAACTACATGGAATATAAATGAAGGTGTTTCCACCCAAAGACTCTTGACGGACAGTGGCCTCCTTAACGACTGTCAAATTACAAGGTGCACATTTTCACACTCAATATTGGCTCAATGATCCAGATGACTAGTAGGACTGTGGCTTATTAGTCATGTTCTTTTCTAATATTAATGCCACGTTTGGCCTACGAGTGTGCAATTTAGCTTAACAAACTACTGTGCTTTACTATTAACAGGACTAGCCCAATAAGTGGACACTCGAGTAGCACCAGCATGTGCAACGATAACTTCGCCTCGCTAGTAGTTGTCCTACCGATGTGTTTCAAAGTCATTCAGTAATGGAATAAAAAACGTTATTAGTAAGACACAGTCCATATACTCGTGCGCCCGAGTCATATGACTAGTATGCTGAATTGTTTTATCACCCTTCACCCTTGTCACTGTCAAAGAGAATCTCTACATCCTGAACTCGACAACCTCCAGTTCTGTCTCCTGTATTCTGGTTATTAGTACAATCTCCAAACTAGCTCCAATACATTTTGGCTTTATTAATGCTATGAACTGAATACATAAAATAGCGGCGTCCAGTCATAACATGAGATACACATGCACAGTGGGATCCAAATCGAGTTTCAATTGTCATTTGATCATGATTAGAGGCCGTAGTTTGCAGCTCTGTACCGTCTATAAAGAAACATTTCTCACTATGATGCAGTACAATTCTACACCACTGCAAATGTCAACCACAAGAATGCATGTCTCAGATTCTGGTATCACCTGTATTGTCAGTTTACAGTCCTCATTAGCTGCGCTATGTCAGTCTGTTCCCTGCCTGTCAAGTCCTGTCCAATGTTTCTAATTACTTTCAGTGTATTCAGTTCTTTACCTGGAATCTTTTTCTTCTGTCCTTGCTTGCTTCTCATTTTAGTGCATTTCCTCCACTAAAATGGAAAGCATCCTTTTGTCCCCACCCCGGTCCGACTGGTGGTCTGTGGTGACTTTAGGGTCGGCATGGCAAAGATCACAGGCCGCATCATCATTTAGTGGCTTTGTTACACAATCAGTGACATAATTTGAAGTGACAAATACAAAGAAACGATGAATTAATTCAGCAGATGGGCAAGCGCCTTGCAGGGCCAGGTAGGACTGTTTTTACATACGTACACAGTGTGTGTTTTGACTTGATTTGTCTTCTTGAAACTGGTCAGGCTACGGAGATGTATAGAGGGCTAGATATAGTGAGTGGTGGTGCAGAGGACAGACGGTGAGATCAGACCGGTGTGAGAAGGGCTTGGGGGCTAAATTAAGATGGTGATACATGCTGGACAAACGCTGATGCTAAACTAAGCTCTTTCTGAGAGGTGAGAAACAGGGGCCTGCCTATATACACTGCCATAAATAAGCATATTGACACTCTTTGACGATGGCCTCCAGCCCATATGCGCTTCTTTCCGAAGAGGTCAAGGTGTAAGCGTGAGGATCAGGTGGCATTTTAAAATCACAGAGCTCTCTGCATTTTACCACCCTGCCACCAAGAGATGAGACCAGGTGACACCGGGGGATTGGAGGGGTGGGGATGGGGGTGGGGGGAACTTGAAGGTCCCTGGCCCAGAGCTGTATTTGGTCTCGTAGTCTGTGATTGACACTACCACCTGTTGATTTGAATGCCATTTCAAACTAGAATGGGTCTTAAGAGCCCTAGGAAAAAAAGGGTTGGAATGTTCGCGTCCCATCCCATGCAAGTGTTAAGCCTCGAAGGACCTGTGAACATGCAATCACAACTTGTATATTTGCATTCATTTGCACCAAGCTCGCACTGTGACATCATCACCTCCTATGGCTGATGTCAAACCTGACACTTTGCCTTCTGATGAATTCATTTTGTGCAAAGTGTATTTTTGCTCAAGTGTGCATCTGTCTATACACGTGGAACCTTGTTGTACGAGAAACAAACTGAAACATGAGATAAAGCTGAACAAAATATAGCTTTGACTCTGGTCTTGAAAAATCATGCTGCAAATAACAAATACACACACATCCACATGATTTCCATAAAGGAATAACTTTTTATTATTTTAGTCTGATAGTCTGTACATCTCTATTGATATAGTTATTACACGCTTCAAGTCAAACAAAATGAGTTGCCAAAAAGGATCACGCCTCAACCCTTGGGCTTAAAATTAAATAACAGTCAGTCAGACACGCACATGCGCACACGGTTTGTTGGAATGACAAATGCGTCGAAGGACAGCATGGGAGAAAGTAAAGTCACGTAACACCACCTCAAAGAAAAGCAAATGATGTGCACACAATTTAAAAGCACGCATACAAACACTGAGGCACCTGTGTACACGGACACGCTGTCCATCCGTCGGGTACATGAACGGTTATGCGGGGACTTAGGAAACGAAAGGCACTGCCTGCGGGATCAGATGTTCACTGAGAAGCAAGTCGTTAGCTTCGTAGCAAAATCGCCTAAATCATTTCGAAATTATTTGTCACACTATGAGGAAAATACCAATGTGCTTGCAAAACAAAACAAAAAAAAATTGTCATCCAGGTTGTGATAATCCGCAAAAATTGAATTGATGCACATGTATTGTTTGTACTATTTTTTTTCTTGTTTTCCCCAAATGTTCAAATAGGCCTTACGCAACTATGGTATTAGGCCAACAAAGTGCTCATGGACAAGTGGCCTCATTGATCATTTCTTTTATATGTGAAAATGTATGAAATTCTTGGGTTGAATGAAATCGATTAAAAAAAAAAAAAAAAGATCAATTGAAGTCAAATTCATCATCTGTCCAACTCAATTGCAATCATGCACACAACGCACATTTTGATAAGCGTGGCCAAGAGCGTTTGCGTAAGAAAGTCCAAAGAATTAAAAAAGAAGACTACCGTTTTCACATTATCTCCACACACGCACGATGATGCCAAAAGAACGATGATAATCATCATCAGAACAACAACAAAAAAAAAAGAAGCATCATTTTCCAGTGTCTACTTATGGTTTCACATCGTATGCATCACAAACCCATCATTGGCACATCATAACCTTATATGATGATTTTTTTTTTTTTTGTTACTTTTTAATACACGTGGAAGCCATCTGCATGAGAGTGACAAACTGACAGGCCAGAACATTTTCCATGCAGCGGAGGTAACTATATAGTTCTAACTCTCTACTAATGACACCTTTTCCACACTTAATAGCACTTGGTCAGCTGCAGCACTCAGATTCAAGGATAGATATACTGTACCTACGTGCCAATTTGCTCTTGCACCATTACACTTTCGCTCTGAAGACTGCAGTATTATACGGTACTCCACACACTACTGCAGTGGTCTCCTTTTTCTTTTCTTTTTTTTGCTGCCTACTCCTTGAGTAGACTGTGGTTTTGTTGTTTTTTTTTTTTCAGTCAGCAGACCAAACTGGTTGTATTGTTCAATGGCAAACCACCTACGAGCGTTTTAATAACCGCTTGTGATCCAACAAATTATGTATCATTAGATGATGCAGCTCTGATTATGATGACTACAATCACAATAGAAAGTATTTGTTAAATAAACAGCACTGCCAAGCTCCCTGAACGTGTCGATCAAAAACTTCCAATACAGCTCTTCTTGCCGTGGACCTCTGTGCCTAATGTTGTGGCCAGTCGGTGCGCACGCCACTTTTATATGAAAAAAAAAAAAGCGTACAAATGTGTTTCCCACATTTTAAAATCATCAAGGTTGGATGTGTTCCTCTGAGTTTGGTGCAAACATCCTATTCGTCAAATGCGCAGAAGTGTTTTTGAGTCACAAAATGGCTTCAATTGCAGGTGGACCGTAGACATTCGGCTGGGTCTCAATACACACTTTTCAAGCCCCTATGCCACTGAGCAGGATAGACTTGCTGAAGCCGCAATCCAGAATGCCAAGATTGAGTCGATTGTTTTTTAAAGCTTTGTTTTGTTTTTTTTGAAAGCTTTGTTTTTCAATATGGCCCCTGAACCTCCACCTCCCTCCCGAGCCCACGTCTTCTATTCAAGCAACAAAATCAACACCAGATTCTTGCACATCAGAGTCAACATTTCAATGAAGGAAAACACACACTTGGTATGATTGTCCTTTCTTTCTGAAGAGATTCTGCAAAGGATAATCATGCGTTCGATTCGTCATTCTAAATGGGTTGTTTAGGTATGTTGTGAGAGACTCATGCATAAGTAACACTTTGCAGTAGCAGCAGTAGAAGGAGAGAGGGTCATTTTAAATGCAACGGAACACTTTGTAGTCCCAGCTGGGTTCTTGAGTAAGTCCACATACCCCTAAAGTCTCCTGGAGCTCTTCAAAGAGGGAGCAAGGTGGGGGTGTATATATATGTGTCCTGAGAAAGGCTGTGTGCGTTTGTGTGTACATGCGTAGACGAGCTCAGCTCCGTCTCCAAACCGTCTTCAAGGATGGCGTCTCTCCGGAGCGGTGATGGGTGGGCATTCAGTGTTGAAAGGGTTAAATCTCTCCCTGCTTTGAGGTCACATGGTACCAGGTTTGGGGTGGGGGGGCGGGGTCAGGGGTCGTGCTGCTGTAGAGCTTGCTGTAGTTTGCGTCTGTACATTGTATATTTAGATTGCACGGCTCGCACACGCTCCGCCTCCTCTTTGTCCAGGATGACCAGGAAGTTTTGAAGCTCCGGGACTGAGAAAGCGTGCCACTGTTGACAAAACACACGTTACTATTTTCAGGTCAGTTGTTCGGCATTCTATGGCTTTTCATTTCAAACAAGAGGGTTGTTTGCAGAAGTTACAGGCAGTCTGCCGGACGTGTATTTTTTTTGCTCTGATGATTGGCTATTAAAAAGCGCTAGCTAAATATCGCTAGCTAACAAAGTACAGAGGTTTTGTTATTGCTTGACATGTATTATTTTTAAGGGTTGTGAAGGCAACACACTCATGTGCTTTTGGTGCATTAAAAAAAAAAATCCAATCATCTGTAATTTGTGTTTTATAGTTTAAACCATTAGTATGGGTGTAAAAAAAAAACAACCTTGGCTTAGTCATGTTTTTTTTGTTATTAGTGAAAGGACTGGGTCCCGACGCACCCTCATGATTGGGGGTTTATTCTATTCCTATGCAATGGCATCATCAGTGTGTAGTTCGTAGACAAAACGCCTCAACAAAAGATAAAAGTTGCCCAAAGACAAAGTAAAAAAACCAAAAAGATCAAACTTGAACTTGCTTGGCGGAAAAACATGTAGAAGAGTGCAGTAATCGGAAACAAAAGTGTGCTTTGTCACCTCCACTTCTCCAGTCTCGTTTTCTTTGAGGACAAAACTGAGCCGCTCCGGGTCAGGCCCTGCTATCAGTCTGAGAAGAAGGGGACGCTCACACAGAGGAAGTTTCTGGAACAAATCTGTCAAAAAAAAACACACAAAATACCAAAATTGGAATGTGTTCGATTGTATGTTGTATGACATTTCGAGTTTTTACTCCTTCCTTACCTTGTCCATCACGGTGCGTCTGCCTGTATAAAGCAAACTTGCGAGGGTTGTCCAACACCATGAACTTTTTCAGCAAGCCCTGGATCACCTCTCTGGTTGTTGTCGTGGAACTGATGTGCAACTGTTTCACGCAGTCACAGGGGAGGTAGAAGGAGGTTCGGTCCTCACCCTGCCCACAGTCTCGGCCCTCTGATGGTGAGCCATCAGGGCCTCCCGGGACCGGCACCTCCATAGCCGGCACTGTGACGGGTCGACTAAGCCTCAGATGGACTTTGATGAAACCTGTGTAAGAGCCGTCTGAGGCCTGCGGCACAGTAATACATCAAAGAAAAATTAGAGAGAAAAATTGAATATAATGGGCCGTGGCTATGCATACAATATCTTCGCACTGTCGGCCGGAAACACGATCCAAATATGGTCTATTTTATTTACATATATACACACACACTAGTGTTATTACAGCCAAACTGCTGATTGTTGTGAGGTGAATTGAAATGTTTTTTTTTTTTTTTTCAATGTGTATCCATTTCCGAGGTCTCCATTTTTTGGGCAGTTATTTCCAAAAGATCTGAATATGACAACTCACTAGTTTCATGCCATTCTCTGACACCCGGGCGTTATATTCTTCTATCCTGGTGCGCACCTCTTCTTCTGGAAGGTCTTTTACACCCCCCTCCTCTTCCTCCTTTGCTTCACTCTTCTGTTGCCAGACAAAAAAAAAAAAAAGACAAGCAATCATGCAGTGTCTATTTCAGCCACAAGATGGCGGCGCCTCCCTCAGGAAAGCACCAGCCTCTTTGATGAATAAGCTCGTCGCTGAAAGGATTTTACCACGCACACAAAAACAAGAAGGTGAATGAGGGACTACAAGAGCATCCTCATCTTGTTGATGCATTCAGTTGTTGCTTCTTCATCAATTTCCTGTCCTACATCTTTGCCAAATGCAACAATATGCTACTCTGACCGGATCTGAATAGGATGCAGATTGACACTTTAATATTCGTATAAATCTTCTCTTCCAGGCAACCAGCTTTGCCACTGAAAAGGGGAACAGGAAATGTTGCAAATGAAGTGCGCAAATGACTCAGTCAGCATCCCTGCACCCGATTATTGACTGCGCGCCATGTTTCTCACTCATTATGACGTGGAGGAGGAGGGTGAGAGCGATGGCAGCGGCAAATGACAGCAGAAGCAGGAGGTGAGGTGGTGGTGGTGGGGGCGTGGGGTGGGGAGGTAGTGAAGAGAGCGAGTAAGGGGTAAGGAATGATGAAAGAGAAGCTGCTGAGCCAGCCTTAGCAACACAGAGTTTGACTAGGTTATTTATAGTACACTCGGAAGCATCCTCTCTATCTTACATATATTTTTTCTTTCCTCTGTTCCTTTGCATTATCTGGAGCAGAGAAAGAGAGAGGGAGAGAGAGAGACTGTATGAAAGCGTGAGAGAGAAATGCAGGTCAGGAATTACTTCTGAAGGGAAGTCCTCAGGTTGTGTGCTGGAATCTGTTTCTTTTCTACAGAGATTTGCACATGAGCGAATGTGTGCATGTCTATGCATACAGACAGCTTTGGGTATTCAACAACACAACGCTCATATATATACTGTAGCTCATTCTAGTTTGAGATAACAATAATTTTTCATACAAACACACAAATTGTCTATTATGTATTTGAAAAATCAGAGTCCTTCAGCAGCTCTCTTATTCTCATCGGATCGGTCAAGACATGGTGAATCCTCAAAAATCCAAAGCGCTGAAATTTGCTCAAAACTTCATCACACATGACATCTTTCAAACTTTTCTGGAGAGAGTTCAGCAACTCATTTTGGATTAACTTTTGACATTTTGTGCTAAATGGAGAAGAGGTATACCACAGACAGCAGATATTATGGGAAGTAACCCGACTCACAATAAAATTTACAACAATGGAATTGGAAGTGTTAGCGGTAGAGGCAAACAGACATTTCACTGTGTTGCAGAAAAGAAATATATTGCTCGCATAATTTGGAGAATGATTGACAAAAATCTATATTCACTCAAGATGGACGCCAAAGTCAGGCAGAACGTATACGTTACAACACACGAGCATCAATGTGTCAAAAAAAAAAAAAAAAAAACCAAAATCCTCTCGCTTGGTGTTCGTAATGCTGGGACAGCCAAGTAACATTCACATGACTTAACCAAACGAGGAAACCTGTCTTCATTCTGAGCCCACGACTGCAGCAGGTTCTGCGAGTGGTTGCAAATACAATCAAATAAAAATTCATTCTGGTACTTTGACGGTTTATTGTGAGCTGCTTACATAAGAACGAACAGAACAATTGGGGGCTAAGAAAAACATCTGAGGAATATGCATGATATGCATCTAGAGGTCCTCCCACGTCAAAGGCAAGCGCATTGAAAAGAACCTCGCAGGAATTCCTGCGTTTGTGTTCGCCTCCAAATGCATCAGAGGCACAGGCATTCCTCTTTGCATACCGGCAGCAGCGATTACAAAACAATACTTGTAGCTTCTGACTTTCTCCGTTTCATAGCATTTACATTTAACCTTTTTTTTTTGTAAGTGTCATCAGATTCACTTCTTTTGGGTCTTAGTTACTTGAGAGCAACTTTCATTGAAATGTGAATCAAAGATTTCTATCCAGTCGATTTTACAGTACGTGATTGTGGAACTGGAGAATTATGACAGCCTAAATGTGTAAAAGAGCTGTTACATAAGGGGACACACACACACACACACACACACACACACACACACACACACACACACACACACACACACACACACACCTCAGGCTGACATGAGGATGTGTTGATGCACTCAATTTTGATAAGACCGGACACGAGAGGTCACACAACTGCTTGAAAGGTTCCCGGAAACATTCAGTATTTGTACGCGCGTGTGTGTGTGTGTGTGTGTGTGTGTGTGTGTGTGTGTGTGTGTGTGTGTGTTTTAATCACACATCCCAAAAAGTTCAAATGCAAAAAGCGAACGCACAAACTAGAACACCTGCGCTACAGCTCACAGTACACACACAAACACGTACAAATTTACATCGCACGTTCATACACGCACATGCTCATGCATTTTTTGGGATATGAAATCAGAATTGGAATAGAACTCAGTCGAGCACAGAAGCTTTCCAAGGTTGAACTTCAATCTACCCAAAAGCATGTACTCTATGTGCAACTGTTCTGGAGATGCCCTTTCTATTGGACAGTCATGATACCGAAAAAAAAAAAAGTGTCTAAGATAGTGCCGTACGTGTTTATTTGTGCGACCGCATTTTATTCCTGAATTAATTCACCACCATTGACGGCTACGGAAGTCAAAAGGTCCATTGCTTTACCGTGGGCTGGCAGCGAGTGGGTTTGTGTTGACAGCAACGAATGCCCTTTACTGTCAAGGCACACATACAAACATGAACGGCCTGTTAACTGTGGGTGCACAATAAAAATCTGGTGCACTGCTTACCCACTGAAACAACTCATAATGCGAGGATGTAAACTTACTGGGCCGTACCAGTTTTGATTCTGGGGCAGAGCAACTAAAAAGAAGGCAAAAAGAGAATATCATTTCTTTATTCACATATTGCTATTACATTTGTTTCCCTGGCATTGGGAAAAAAGTGTCTCTTAAAAAAATTCTATAATTGATCATTATTATCCCGACAGTCAAAAATAAAAACCTTATCTACAGTATGATTGCAACGATGTTGAGTGAAATACAATTTTCACTCATTTGTTATTCATCAGCCATGTAACTCACTGCATTAAAAAAGGTAGCGCCAGAGAACAATGCAAACAGCCACTGCTTTGCAAAAAAGCAGCGCGCATATTAAAGCTAGCAGGTTAACGCGAGGCTAAAAAGTGGAAATGACTCAGAATGAAAAAGAGGATCTTAACTCCCCTTTCACTGTTTGAATGAATGTACCGGTATGTATGGTTGTGTGTCTGGAGTCGAACACAATCGCCGCCTTTCGCACTGAGCACTTCTATGCACAAGATGCCACGCACAATCGTTTGCATAACCTCCTTTTCATATTCAAAAGCGCGGAGAAAGAGGACATGAATGTACTTGATGATGTACAGGAGAGAGCAGACACTCCCTGATGCTCCTGTGCCATAATGTCATTTGCAAGCATCTTCCTCAGGCTATGAGAGAGAACAAGCTTCGCCAGCTGGCAACAGGGATGCTGGCAGCAGAGTCAGGCTAAGCCCGATCAGCATTACGTCTCAAGCTAACCCGAACATGCTGACTACACAGCTGGTCAATTATTGAGGGATTGTACCTGGGCCAAATTAGACACAGAAGGTATCGCCGGGTCAGACGGCGGGGGTTTCAACTGGTTGAGCTTTAGTCTTTTATTTTTCGCTCGTCTTCGTAGAAATGCACCCACAGAGGAACCTATAAAGTGCAGGTGTCAAACTCGAGTCCCGTGGGCCAAATCTGGCCTTACCACATCATTTTATGTGCATGACTCACCGAAGCAAATGTGAGTTTTGAGGTTAAAAAAAAAAATTGAGTAAGAAAAATCATTTATGCTTTTTATGCACTATGAATGTGATTTATAAATTGTTTTTAGGCGAGCGAAAAGTAAAAATGAAGAATTGAAATTTTGTGGTTGCACAATTGTGCACACCCTCATATAGGTGGGGACGTGGCTATGTTCAAAAGTAACCAGTCACATTGACAGTCATGTAAAATGGGAGTCATCTCACACCCGTCAACATTTAAAAATACATCGAGTCTGATAAAACCAAAATGTGGTTCAGCTTTTCTATTGGTCTTTTTCTGACTTTTTTTGTTGTCTTCAAGCAGGAACTTGAAGGTTTTGTGCTAACACTGAGTGCTATTTTCAACTTTACATAATTCCATCCCCTGTTGTCGACTTAAGCTTATCTAAGAAATACAGCCCCTAAACATGTTGCTGCCACCACAAATGCTTCACTGTAGGCATGGTGTTCTTTTGATGATGAGCATTGGTGTGATGGCAACAAAAACACGAAAACAAATCCTCCCAAACAGATTGGAAAAATTGTGTTTTAAGTATAATGGAGGAAACGGACACACTGGAATTAATCCTGTATGACCGACTGGGGAGGAAATTATTTGCTCTCTTAAAAAAAAAAAGTTTGCATTTTAAATGGCAGAAAACACTGTTTAAAGAATAATTTAACAAACGAACAGTGATTACGTGGTATAACTCAATGATATTGTATCGGTTGTTGTATCGGTACATTTTTATGAGCACGGACAGGTGCACAGTATCGGCAGTGATACGATACTGTTATCGATACCTCTCAAAAGAGCGAAACTCCATCTAAAACTCGGAAAACAGTAGCACCGCCGAGAAAATGTTTGACCACTGGGCGGAGCCTCTTCTGTGCTGTACTCTGACTGGCCGATCAGTGTTTGGGGATGATTAATTGTACTTTGTCACAGAATCCCGCATTCGAGTGTAATGACAACATTAGGGAGGTTGGTATTGAATTTACAAGTTGGTGATGAGGCGAGGTCTGCACTCTGACAGGAGCAACAATATGCAAAGTATTGCCGCAAGCAAATATCATGTCTATGTGTGGAGAGGCAGACCCCCCTCCCAAAAAGCAGTTGCCATGGTACCCCCCCCCCCAACTTGCTACAGTTAGGCAGTAGCCAACACGCACGCACGCACCTCCAACAGTCAAGTGCTAGAGTTTCAGCTTTGTTTCTACGGAAACCTCTCCCACGCACTGAGGAGGTTGACATCATTACCTCAGTTAAAAATACATGTTGCGGCTTCACACCTCAAACATGCCCCAATGTTTGATCCATGTGTGCCCCCCCTCCACTGTCATGAGGCATCAAGGCTGGAGGGATAAGGCTGACGTGATCAATGTTGCTAAATAATGTATGACTTGCCATACATACATGCAGCAAGAGGCTGCCCGCAGTGTCCTAACCACTTCCTGCTCAAACTTCTGCTTTTCTTGCCTTCAAGTTTCTCATCCAAATGATAGTTGAACAACAACAAAAAAAATCCCCCACCAGCGACTCCTCTGCTTGGCGCCACGGCTACCCGCAAAAGTTTTGTACCTGAATGGAATGCCTGGGTTTGCGGAAGAACGACGTCTTGGCCGTGAAGAAAGTGAAGTCTTCGTTCTCATCGTCCAGGCTGCAGTAGCCGCTGCTCATGCTGTTACTGCTGGTCATGGAAGGTGTCGGCTCCGTGTTGACAGTCATGGAGAGGTATGGATGGCACAGCTTGACAAAGTCCCGCTTGAGCCTGACTAGTCTCCCTCAGAGTGTTTTAAGTCCCACCTGTGACGGCGATTGCAGGGGGGGAGACCAGGAAATCCGAGAAGCAGCGTACAAGTGACACTTCCCCCACGAGTGTTTGTTGCTCTGGCAACATATATGCGCCTATACATGCACACGCGCCGAAACGCACGGCAGGAGGTTACCTGGCCCTTGTGTCCTGGAGTCACTTTCCAGCTAGGTGTCAAGTTCACCCACCTGACAGCTACTTGCTACACTTGCAAACTAAAAGTCACCATTGTGTGCGCGCCACAACCACATCCTGTTCTCTTCTTAAGAATCATCTGAGCGGTGCTGATGTTTATACGGAGGGAGAATTTATCTAGTTTTGGAGCGCGTCAGAGCTCACGTTGTGTAGCAAACGATGCGTAAAGTCGAGCCGGTGCCACCGTTTACGTTCTCCTCTTCGATGAGTCGCTTTGGCAATGCAAACCAAGAGACTGATGCCTCCCTCGCCTCCTCTTTCTCTGCACCCGCTTTCCTCACTCACTCGCTTGTGCAGCCTCGCTCGACCATCTGTGGTTATCAGGCTGAGAGCACCCTCCCCCTTTTTCGCGCTCGCTCTCTTTCTCTCTCTGCAGTGCAACATCATTTCCTCTAACGGAGAGCAAGGGGGGGGGGGGGCTGTTGATGATTGAGCTCCTGTTTTACATATTGTGCGTACCACGACTGCAATGACAGGAAGATGTGTAGACAGTCAGACCAGAGAGGAAGATGGCTGTTATGTGTGTCGGTGTACCTCTACAATAACAAAGGCAAATGTGTTGAAAATGAATGGATGGCTCATTATACTGGAATTATTCAATTTTCAGGAATATTGATAGATTGTGAGCTATAGGTAGTTACGAGCTGTTCCACATCCATCCAGCGCCACAGTTTAAAGGGGAAGTCAACTCAAAATTTGTCCTCCCGATAGTATGTCCTATGTAGCCCCACTAGTCTAAACGTGGCTTTCTGATTAATACTGTGTTTGTGGAATATGAGCTAAGCAGTAAAATCGACACGTTTTTGTCCCTCTCAGGGGGCGGCCATTTTGCCACTTGCTGTCAACTGAAAATGATATCATATTTCACAATCATGGCTCAGCTTCAGAAAACAGATGAGCGATGATTGGTTCTTACCGGAGCCCTGAACAACTGTGATGTCATTTTCAAGTGACAAAAAGTAGCAAAATGGCTATCCCCGAAATGGCAAAGACCAGGTGGATTTTGCTACTGAACTTCAAAGTGGAAGTCCACCCCCAAATTTTCTTGATGATAATATGTTCTATGCACCTCCCTACTAGTCTAAACGCAGAATTCTCATTAATATTGCACTTGTGAAATATGAATAAAGCAGCAAAATCCACACATTTTTATCCATCTCAGGGGGCGGACATTTTGTCACTTGCTGTCAACTGAAAATGATATCCAAGTGCCTAAGGGGATCAGTTAACGGCTGTCAGGGCTCACCTGTTTTCTGGGTTTGATCATGTGTTGTTTGCAAGGTGAAAAAAGGGGGGATTTTCTTGCTTAATTCATATCCCACAAACAATATTAATCAGAATGCCATTTAGACTGGTGGTAGGGGGGCGAGGACATATTTTAAAAGAAAACGTAGTTGGCAAAAATCACATGATTGGGAAAACAAAGTAAAACACACATAAGAGGAGAATAGCACATCTTATCTGAACGAGAGGAAATGTATTTTGTAGCGTGAAATGGGAAGCCTCCGCTAAGTCAGACTTCCTTGTCGTAATTCAATAATTCAAACAGCTCACGAGAATGACCGCAAACACAGCAAGCATTCAAAATGTATTGTCCAAAATATTATACACGGCTAGATTGTATAGGCGTGCCTAATATTACGGCGTGGACGTTGTAACGCTGTCAACATTGGTTTGTGGAGAGTTGATCTTGTGGTACTGAAAATGAGAAGACCATCTAGTGAATGATTACCCAGGTTGGAGATTAAACTGACCTCTAACCTCACGCCGACCCTTTACCCTGCCTCCTAACTCCCAATGAGCCTGTCCTCCGAAAGGCAAAGCCGATTCCCCAAACACGCCTGCCATTGAATGTAGGAATACTCATTACATCTGTATGCGCATTTATTTTCTCTGTGTGTAATTCATGGTTAACATTTACTCAGGTGGTGATTTACCAGATGACTCCTTCAAATGAGGCTTCCTCATTTGGATGCTCTGCACGCTTCTTAGGTACTTTTATGTTTAAAATGGATACGTGCGCGTTCACTGTGCATGTCTACGACGTCCTTTCACGGAGGAGTTTTGACCAGCTCCATGCCTATCCTTATGTCTGTATTATACTGCCCCCATGTGGTCAGGGCGGACACACCAGAAGGAGCAGCAAAATGTCCACTGAACTGAAGCAAATAATGTCCAGAAACATTTTTTTTTTTTTTTTTACATTTCACGGCGAAAAGATGGCTTGAGATATGAGTGTCGTGATTTAGGAACGTGGTCATGGAACAAAATAAACTCAAGGCACTGCAGTATTACAAATCAGGGCTGTGCATCTCTCCAATAAAAGATGATTCGATAAATATCTTCACATAGCACCCATCTTTTAAATCAAAACCAATTTTCCAATTCAAAATATTTTTTGTTTTTTTAATTACCCCCCTGGTATATATCATAAATGAGACTGATTGAATCCGATTTTTGAACCACCGGTGAAATTTTGCCTTTGAGGTCCCAATTTTAGGTCCCCATGGTGACACGACTTCTCATGTGGGGAGTGTGATCAGTCATACCAGACTCCTCACTGCTGCAGAAGTTCGGAACTATAACATAAACAGAGGCCTCAACCAAAGGTGACACTCGACCGTGCAGCCATTATTGAAAGTAAATTATCTGCACTATGTAGGTACACAAGAGATTTTTTTTTTGTTTTTTGACAGGAAATCAATCAAACCCCGACATCCCATACATACACACCAACACAAACAAAGGGGAACCCCACACAAATAAATAATTTGACATCACAGAGTGAGTGTTTTCTGCTACATACAGTTGAGAGAGGCCTGATGCACTCCGAGCCATAAAGGAGAGCAAATGACAGCAAGAGAGCGAAGAAGACCGCAGGGAAATAAATCGCCGTCTCTCTGTTTACTGCGCAGTACCAGTGAGCTGAATATTCAGCTCATTAAAGTGAATCATTCATTTGTCATTTGCTTGCTTATTTTAAACATTGTATTGGGGCGGCGTGATAGTAGGGGAAGGTTTGTTCACACTCACTCAGAGAAGAGTACTACCTGGCTTGCTCCCAAGCTTCTAATTTTATCTCATCTACCCACTGGCTGCTGACATTCTGCTGCGGGCCCGTGCGTCCGTGTGACTCGCGCTTTGTGTGCAAGCGAAGAGTGTGCGTGTGTATGTGCTGAACCGCGACTGTGTGGGTGACTGCAGCTGAGAGGCCAGGAGCACTGAAAAGTACACGCAGAAGTGATTTGTATAACTATACCACATAATCCTTGATTTCCACATTTTGCCAGTAATGGAGGCCTGGTGCATGTTTAAGTGTGCTTCCTGTTATTGTTGGGTGGGGGTGGGGGGGTTCTGAAAAGAAGAGGTTGTCTACCGTAAAAGGGTGGACTTGGAGAGATGTTGAGCGAAGCACCGTGCAATTATTTGACACACACACAGACACACGAATGCGTGTCCATGCAATCCATCCGCACATAATATTCAGAATGCTTACTTTGTGTTTGGGGGTGGAACAGCGGCTTCTGGGAAATTGAGTTTCTTCAGGCTTATGGTCCCTCTGGTTGCAGTCCAGCTGGACTTGTCTCTCACACTCCAGATGGCAGGTGTAGGTGCAATCTGAGGAATGCATAAACACCCCAGTTACACTCAATAAATGACAATGAAATGATAAATGATGTAATTTAGCATTTATAAAATCCATATTTAGATCACCCAGTCTTCACGTGCATATGTTGCAAACATGTCTCCCCCCCTCCCACAATTTTCAAAATCCCCGCACAGATGCAAACCTCCTTCAAAGGGGGACAACAGCGCTATCTAGTGGCAACATTCAAATTCACACCAATAATTGTGGCAATTACTATGACAAACATATTGGTGTGATCGTCATATCCTAAAGATCACATTTTATAGTGTGATTAGATCTATAGGGAAGAACAGAAATATCACGTTTTTGTTGTTACAGAGAACAAATACAGCTAAATAAATAAATCCGATGCTTCAAAGAGACCACATTGTACAGACACATGCAAGGACCATGTAATGTATACCACACAATTCAGTACACTAGAATGCTGACAATCCACTTACACACACAAGGTACAGGAATAGCAGCACTGGCACTGTGAACTATTTTTTACTGCTTGGCTAGAGAGGAACAGATTTACATTCTGCTCCTAAAACTTCCCCAAAATAAATTTGTCGTGGCCAGAGGCTTTGCACAAACTCTTCAGTCTCACAGCTCACGTCTTTGCCGTTGGTCACACAGTCCATGCAAAAGAAAAATAAGGAGATTTTAAAAGCACACAGGCAAAGATAGAACTGCAGCTCGGAGGCGACGGTGATTCCTAAATCGTTTCAATTTTTCACGCGCGCGAGACTCACAAATTAAACTATAGGCAACAGATGCAGTTATATGTCATTTTTCCCCCCACAACTTTTGTGATAGATGAGTGCAATGTCCTGGTTCACACTGCATCAACACTGTAACCATGGCAACAAGCCTCTTTGTGCTCATTGTAAGGGCGATATTTTGTCAAATAGAGCCAACTCTCCAACAGCAGTTGGGTTACAATTAGTTGATGGCTAAGAGATTAAAAAAATTACTGACATAAATCATTTGAACTCAGTTGCCAAACACAACGGCAGCACCGTAGCACATAAGCAGTTTCTCAGATGTGCATCCATGTTTATGTTCTCTAGATTTCTCCATAATGGTCCTTTTTCATTGGGGATGAGCGAGTGCTGATAACATGGATCGATATCGGGCATATACCAGCCTTATTTGAAGGTATCAGATTCCCAAGGAGGGTACCGATACCAACCACTGATACTTTCATACTTAAGGAAAAAAGGAAAAAAAAAACTGTCATCAAGTAAGTCCTTCTCAGTAGTAGTTGTTGGTGCTATACCGCGGCAGTGTGACACATCGGCAAATCATCATCTGCGTCGTAAAGAAATGTCTTCACTTTTTTGTGATTGTGTTAAATGACCATTTGTATATCAAAAATACTGCAGGTAGTGGTACTTTTCTCCCAATAGCTGCAATTGAGTAAATAAACAGTCACCCGGTCACAATTTGGGAAAAACGCGATTTAAAATGGAAGATGACATCACGGGCAGTATTTAGATTTTTCAGTCACGTGAAAATGAAATGGTTTCGAAATTCCGGCGTCGTCGTACTGTACCGTATGAGCCGAAAAGGGTTCACATAGAGTACACACAGACAATGAGGGGGCTTGACGAGTCGAAATGTGACGTAGAACGGGGAGTGGCGGCTCGGGGATGAAGCGTCTTGCTGACAGGCACCTAGGAGGTGTTGGGGGAAAGGCGAGTGCTCAGATAAGCAAGTGATTGTGTTGCGCTCACTTCTATTTAGGGGCGGGTCACTGCAGAAAGATGAAAGGAAACACGAAGAGGAAAGGAAGAGAGGAACTCCTTTCCTGCCTGCCTGAGATCATTTGAAGGTATCATTTGGGAAAGTTGCATTTACAGTAACTGTCCACCCATCTATTTTCCATGGTGCTTTTTCTCATCAGGGTCACGGGGTGAGCTGGAGCCTGAGTCTATATATATGTCGAGATAAATGAGAAAAGAAAAATACTGCATGGTGGGGTAGAAAATCAGCTCATTAATAACGATGGAGAGGGGCTGGGATTCAATCAATGATACTTTTTCAGACATGTAGGTTAAATTGCTTTTGCGTTTTCTCTCTGTGTTGTACATTTAAGCGGTGGACATCATTTGCATGTTCGGAAGAAACAATGTAACATAACGTAATCTTTTTTGGGGGGGAGAATTTAAGAAAATTATCGTGAAAAGTGTTCATGTTCAAATTGTGTCTTCAGGATTAAAATCTCAAAATATCATCTTTTCATGAGGACTTTTAATGTTGGTCACAATGGTGGTACTGTAACTTGAAGTGCCAAGGATTTTCTCAGGTGGTACCCGATGTCAAACATTATTAGTTCAATTCCCATAAAATGCATGCGCTTGGGTAGAACGCTTGAGTATCATGAGAAAACCAACGTCATCATTTAAACCAGGCAGACAGGGGACACCCCCCCACCCATCTTCCTGTAATTCCAACATCCGTTGCTGCTCCCCGTTGCAAAAA